TATACAATACAATAATGATGGATTTGGTCATTTAAATCCACGGTTTAATAACGGACCGTGTTAACTAACATAGCAGCAAATCAATTGCTAGAACATTTGGATCGGAAACCCCAAGCGCAGCGTTTCCCTTTCCTACAATATTTTTTTTGGGGGGGACGGCTAGCGTGTTTGGTTCCACGGACGGACCCATGCCATATGCATCGAGTCGTCCGTTGATTTTGCAGAGAATGCTTTGATTCCATTAACTGACACATGCGATTACACCTTAAACAAAGATATCGGTTGGAGTATATATCGTGACAAAATTGTCGGCAGTGTGTGCACAGCACAGCGCGCTGGAATTTAATTAAGGGCGTGTTTTAATTGGTGGCTCTTATAAATTTTATTAGTATGTTCTCTCTTTTTTTTTCAATGTTGAGTCGTTGGATGATTGGATCGGATGAGAATTATTTATTTTGCTGTCGCGAAACTATTTATTATATTTATTTCAGCTTTATTTGTTTTCCGTTGCGGCCTGTTTACGCACAACAGAAAAAAAAGGCACTTGAATTTGCAAACTACCGCAAGTATGCATGTCCTGCAGAGGCTTTTTATTATTTATTTATTAGGCCATTTTAGCTAAGCGATCGACTTTGCTTTCAGCTTTAATTCTTTGCCTCTGACCGAGAACAGGAAAACGTAACGAATTCAAAGATCTCTTGAGAAAAAAGGTCACTTTGAAAATTACACCCTCTATTTGGGAGCATATGAAATAATAGGAATTATTAAAAAGTCTTGCTTCGTTGAGAAGACAGAATTTTTATGTTTGACAGTATCATAGTTATCTCAAAAGATTTTTACAAAAAATATATTCATAATTAATCTAGTACTAATACCTATACTACATCTTAAATTGTATTGTTTTTGTATATATTTAATTAATTTTGTGATTGATCGGCTTGTCGAAAAGCAAGATTTTGTTTATATATTTTTGGAAGGAGCGAGTAGCTAGCAGCAGCTACAGGAGTATATTATATATAATGTGTTTGCTAGCTGGGCGGTGGCCCTTGCTTCCATATCGTCGACCAGGTAGCAGACGAGATGGCGAGCCTGCGAGCAGCCCTGCTGCTCCTCCCGCCGCTCTCCGTCGTGGTGGCCATGGCGGCGCGGTGTCTGTGCCGCGTGATGGCGCGCAAGCTGAGCGCGCTGGCGCGCTCCCAGTTCGCGTGCCTCCCGTCCGGCGGGCCGTCGTTCCGGTACCTGGTCTCCTCGCCGTCCGTGGAGGACATCAAGGGCGGCGGCGGCCAGCTGCCGGTGGGGCTTTATTCCCGGAGGACGACGCGCCGGCGCGGCCCCGGTGGCAGCTGCGTCGGCGAGGAAAGCGAGGAGGAGGAGTGCATGTTCTGCCTGAGCGGCATCGAGGAAGGGTCGGAGGTGAGGGAGCTCCGGTGCCGGCACCTCTTCCACCGCGCCTGCCTGGACCGCTGGGTCCGGGCGCGGCCGGTGGGGGCGACGTGCCCGCTGTGCCGCGGGCGGCTCCTGGCGTCGCCGCCGTGGGAAGTGGCAGGGTACTACGACGACGACTTCGAGGAGGAGGGCGATGAGGAGGCGGTGGAGGAGGACTCGGACATGATGCTGTTGATGGCGTGCGTGCGCAGCAGCAGCAGCTGGCTGTGGCCGTCGTGATGACTCGTGACCGTGCCTAGCTCGATATGATGGGCGGATCGGACGTCGGCTCGTCATGGACTGCACGTATGTAGTGTAGGAACGTATAGTTACGCAAGTTGTTGGTGGTGCGTTCTAGAGAATGAAACTTGCTTCTCCTCCGATCGACGATCCTGCTTGTGTTTCTTTCTTTTCTTTTTCCTTTGGCCGATCGATGTGTAGTTGTGTATGTATGTATGTACAGTGTTGGCGGCAGTAGTGGTACGGGAGAGAGGAAGCACGTACATACACAGCATGGAGCATCGATCACGCATGCACTTTGTATGTTGGTATGGACTGATCGATATCTGATGTACATGTACATACATCTGCATCATGCTGCAGCACGGCGAAGAAGGAGAGGCGCTTGCATGCATCATGCTGCGGCGACGGCGAGACGACGACACGTACGTCTGCGGCGCGTGCACGTTGGGGTCGTCTGCTCCGACGTGCGTCGAGGGAGGCCATGCGGCCATGCCAGCCTGATGCCTGGCTGCTCTGCCTCCTCCGTCCTCGATCCCCTTCCCCCGACATGTTTGGAACGCAGAAATTTCACTGGGCTCCGGGCCCGGGCCGGGGGCACTTCGCTTCCACCACACACGCACACGCACAGCAAACCAGTCCAGTCGTCCGCGCATGTACACGTAGGAGTCCTCCACACTTATTAGCGTGGTGGAACAGAGAACAGGAACAGAACAAGAGTCGGCCACGCCGCAGCCGCACGCCGGTGATAGGAGTTCCACCTGAAGATGACTACAAAATTAACTGCGATGGGGCTTTTATCCCTGGATCAAATAAAGCTGGGTGAGGTTTTATTATTAGAAATCATGCTGGCGGTCGTCCTGTTCGCTTGACTTATAAGCCGTACTTTTCCAGTCAACAAACAGTATTTTTCTCTCACAGCAAATCAGCCAACAATACTTTCAGCCATGGCTTATCAGCCAAGCGAACAGGGCGCATGGTTGTAGCAGCAGGAGCAGGATCAGCAAATTTTCTAATGTCAGCTCAACATGCTGAAGCAACTGCTTGTTTAAAAGGCCCGGAGCATGCAGCTCTGTTGGGAATGAGGCGAGTTATTTTAGAGATTGATGCGGCTGCTATTGTTAAGGCCTTAAATGACAATTGCTTCGAAAGATCTGTGTAGCAGATATTCAGCCAGCTATAGGCTTGAATTGTACTGATGGTCACCATGTACCAGCTTATTTGGTGTCCGGGCCACGCTAATGGAACTATGTTTTCCATCTCAAAAAAAAAATTATTTGCATTGCATTTGCATGCATGTCAACTCCCGTCCCCGTGATTGAATTGAACGCCAGCCGGTTGCTTCCTCTCCCGCTGCGGCTGCCGACGGCTTTGGCATTGGCAGTCAATGGATGGGCCTGCGCTGTTCCAGTTCCACAGGGCACCCGAAAGGCTGAGCCGACCCCTCGTTTGGGCCTCAATCCCCCAACCCCAACCACACATGGACTAGTAGGCCTTCTATGTTACGTTACCTGGGCTGGGGGCTGCCTTTCCTTAATTCCTGACTTTCTTTTTTTAGGAGACATGTCCGGCTCTTGGCAGCAATGGAATATATAGTCACGTTTCTTATGCCGGGAACCTCCATGTTTCCGATTCGGCCATATTTACGTTTTTACATTATACAAAATATCTCCTCAAGTTGTTTCCGTTCTAAGTACTTGTTCCCGGAAGGGAACATGGTTGCTAAGTTCTAGCTTTACCACCAGTAATGAGCTCATGGGCTGACAGACCTAAGTTCAACTATTGCTAATGAGCTTATGGATTGACTGATGTTCTTGCAAGTCGATCGACATATCCTCTAATGACCTCATCGGCTAGCAAGCCTATGTTACTCCTAGTCAGTTGTACTTCTTCGACACCATTAAAGGCATCTTCTTGCTCCGGTCCTCTACGTCTCTCTCCGTTTTTTTCTTATGATTAGTGGTAAGTTTAGGGGTGAGGAGGGGGTCAAGCCTCCATTCTCCCAGCCTTTGGCCTTCCACCAATCATGTGTTGCCTGCTCATATGGCCACCCTATCGCCCGCTTTCACTCCTCGCCCCAAGAATGCCCGCGCCACACAATTGACGCCATCCGCCAGAGACTCTACCACCCACACAAGATCTAGCGACTCGAGTTCCTGTCATTGCTCCTAGCTATAGCGCTACCTCCACCACCCTTGAGTTCGCCAACGAGGCTTCCCCGTGTCTACCCAGAGACAAAAAAAACACCACGTCAATTGGGACGAGTCTGTTCTCTCATTTTGGAGGGACATGCTTGCCTCAAATCTTTGTCGAATATATATCCCACCCATTCCACTCCCTCCATAACCAAGCACTAGGCGGAAGAGGGGGGCTCCCTATCCTATCCTCGTTCGTCCTTGGAACCTAAACGATCGTCTATCCTATTCAGACGGCCTTCGGGCATTCCCAGACAATTTTCAGTCCATACAACAATCTTTACTTCATACCTCTAAAATTGAGAGTTATAATTTTCATATACAAAGTAACTTTATCCAACACCATACAAGAAAGATATATTTTTTCTAAGGCAACAAGGCTTGATACACGATTAATATGCTGCTGAAATTCTATGTTATTTTTAGCATCTCAACGATCTTAAATGAGAAAATTCAAAACTAAAAAGTTGTAGATCTCATTGGGAGCTACAATTTTCATATAAAAAAGGTAATCTTCATCCGATGTCGTATGATCTTTTAAGGTGAAGCCTTAGAGAAACTCCAAGAGGCTCTTTGTACCATTTCTAATTGTTGGAAATAGAGATTTTGGTGAAAAAACATCCTCCAATAGCTTCTTTAATTGGTTATCCAAATATAATCACCCTCTATTCTGGATTTCTCGCTATCTCTCTAGAGTACGCAGAAGATATAAAAAAGCTATTTGAAGAGTGAGAAGATATAAAAAATGATTTTTATGCAAATGACTCTCTAAATGATGATTTGAATTTTGAAAAGAGAGATGCTCTTATCGCTCACACATGTCTCATCGGTTGAGTCATCACGTAGGATAATGAGTCGGATAAATGCATATTACTGGAATCTAGATAAACCTATTATAATTTCAGGAAGCCAAAAATATATTTTGAAAAATTTGGGACGATGACACCACGAGACGAGACAGTCTCGATGACCGCTGGTTAATGTTTACTATTTGTTGTAAAAAAAAATGTTTACTATTTGAACTGCCTAGGGCAAGGATTGCTTGCAGCTTGTAGCACGCAGCAGTCACAAGTCACACTCACACGCAGCAGGCTATGGAGGAGGCATCAGCGAGGGGGCGGAAGAGGCCGCGCGAGGGCAATGCGAGCGAGGATGCGCGAGGTATGGAAGAGGCTGCTCGAGGCGGCGGCCGGGGAGCCTCAGTACACGTACCGGCCTATCGCCGACGCCCTCAAGGCTCCCGTCGTCCGGGTCTGCCTCTTCCCCGTCGTCGCTCAGATCGGCGCCGCCAGACGCAGCAGTGGCTCGGGTGAGCCTCACTCTCAACCCCTCCCATCCTCTCCTTCCGCGCACCCGCCGTCGCCTCATCTTAGGGAGTTAGGGTTTAATCTGGATTTTAGCAGGATGAGGGTTGGCGGTTTGTGTTTAAGCTGTTGCAGGCTGTATGTTTCCTTCTTCAGTTATTCTTCAGTCTGATTCACAAAGTGTTGACCTAGGGTTTGTTCTCGATAGCAAATGCTGCGGAGGCAGGGAAATTTGTGGGGTTCCGTTGGGATTTGTGCTGTGAAAAAAGTATATATTTGGAACGATTTGTTGAATAGTGTTGATTAGGATTAGTTCTCTGCTCAAATGCTGCTTGCTTACTGGTAGGAATTATGCTAGATGTGCCAGTAGTAGCAGTCTCCCAGACTTAAGTCTTTAAATTCGGGCCTGCGTGCCAAAACTCAGTACTGTGAATGTTTGCTTTTTGAAATATAAAAGCAGGGGTCTCCCTCTTTTCTAAAAAAAAAAAAATGCTGCTTGCTTATTGCGGGGGGACACGTGCTTTAGCTTGTCCGCTTGTCCTTAGATCGCCTCTTTCTCAACTTTTTGCACGAAGCATTATGCGTTGAGACTTGGGAGGGACCTTCTGCTGTCGTGTTCATTGCCAAGTCTCACTTTTGATCCTCAAATCAATGCTAGAACCCTTGGTCATGTCTATAGTTTTTGCAGATTTCACGGTTACGTTGAGGATTGTGGATGAATCACGCAAGGCTGGAATATCTGCAACATTTTTTGCTGACAACACTGCCCTATTGCCCTGTGTCAAGTCAAGTGGAGATGTGATCAGTCTCCACGACGTCGTGGTACAGCATAAAACTCTATTTAATTATGCCATTTGTCACTGGGTATTTCTCGGAGCTATAAATTTCCACGTACCTTTTTATATGTGTTGTTGTTTAAGCCTATTTTCTTTTCTCATCATTTTTGAAGTTTTAGTGTTACATTTAGCAGCACCTAGTTCATGCCTACTCTGATCTGCAGGTAAAGCGTCATCATGAGGAGTTCTTTGTTACATTTGACAAAAAGGTTTCTTCATTCGTGTTGTTTGAAAGCAAAGTATCTGCTGAGTGCAGATCATATCAGACTTCTGTGAAATATCATGGCAGCAAACATGACAAAGAACGTTTAACCCAGATGAGAATGTGGCTTCCTCTAGGTGACTCCTAGTCGATAATTACTTTTGATAATTTATTTGGTCCACCCATCTTGCTTACCCCAACTTGCTTGGGACTAAAAGGCTTTGTTGTTGTTGTTGTTGTTGTTGTATTTGGTCCACCCATCTGCATGATATTTCCTGTGGTGCCTTAATCATGCTCATTCCACCTCCAATTTTATGTGTCACTAAAATATCATGGTGGTGAACATATTCTTATCCAAATGAGAAGCCAGCCTAACTATCATACTTGTGGGGCTGAAAGGCTAATTCAGTTTCCGATTTCTTGGTCCCACCAATTAGCACGATTCACTTGAATTTATGTAGGATCAAACAGTGTGCTGTAGCCAACTAGCCATTCTATTTATGAACTCTTCTTACCCAAAGGAGTTAAGTATTTTATAAATTATGAGTACAACAGAACTTGCATTATCTCATTTTAGCCCTTAGTTAAGGTCGGTCTCTGCCTGCCTTTCGATCAAACACAACAACAGTTTGAATTTTGTTGTCTAGAATTGTTCCTGTTTTGTTATATTGTCAGCTTCTTGCTGTGAACTCATATTACTTTTTAACTACCTGCTCTCCCGATAAGTGGTTGATATATGGTATTCTGTTTCTTTAGGATATAGACCTTTTACTGTAGCATGTATTCTGTGTCTATCTTTGTCTCCTTGCAGAGATTCATGAAATACTTAACTAGCACGTCCCCTAACAAATGCTTTACTAGCAACTTTTATAACATCTGTTTCTATCTAACTACTTTGCACATGAGGTCTGAAAGATTTCGGTCTGAAAGATCTCGAATTGCAGTTAAGGAATTTAAAGTCTGATTCTACTTTTGATCTAGTATGCAAGGTTAGTTCTTTATTCAATCATATTGAAACTCGAGACTTGTTTGGGACTTAAAGGCTTTGTTGTTGTTGTTGTGTTGTTGTTGATTGAAACTCGAGACTTATTTTTGTACAGGGAATGCTCCAAAAATTCTCTCTGCCTTCTTGTAGGTTTTGCGTGTCCTTGAAGATAACGGCAAATGGATATTTTATGTTTGGGATGGAACTGACACCTCTGCAGCTGAGCTTCAGACAATGTAGGATTGTAGGTTTGTCTATGTTTATTTATTGTTTCTAATTTTTCAGCAATAACTAAGAAAAACATCTATGCAATATAGGATGGTGTTCTAGTGTTTTTGCAATACTGTTGCAGATTTTAATCTTTATTTGGTTGTTCTTATATGGTGCACTGAACTTAAGCATAGTCAATGAAAAGAAAATAAGTCTTATCTTAGAAAAACATTTGCTGACGTCAGTCACGTCACTATTTTCACTTAATTGACCTGTTTTTTTTTTGTGTGTGTGTGTGCCTCTCTGCTATTGATTGGTGAACATATAGTTCGGATGCTGAGGCAGTTGCATCACCCCCTCTGCTTGAAGGACCACCTCTACCGAGGGAGGTTTTATGCACAATGCCATGTGTCGGAACTGTTCTGAAGATTTTTTTCAGACAGTCCTGTCAAGCAAGAATTACACATGCGAAAGGGTATTTATTGGGCCAGGTTCTGCAACATTACTTGCAAGCAAGACAAGTTTGGCATTTGAAAAGGCGTTTTCTTGGACTCTAGTAGAGTTCGCCTTTTATCTCATGAAGATGGTAGCATTGTTGATCGTCTGAAGTAATCTTCTTTTCTGATGAATTTTACTGTTCTTTGGACATTATATAAGTAAACTTTACCAATTACATGAACAACTCCAGGATGTATGACAGCCGCAACACCAACAAAGTTCACCGCCAGCCGATGGCAAGCTTCCCCTCTAATGTTGCTGGTATAGAGCATTGCTCCTCTGAATCACTGATGAATATATTCTGTTTCATCGTTCATATCATGAACTTAGCTACTGATTCAGCATTTAATCGATTAAAATAACAATATTTAAGTTTGTTCATCAGGCCTTATCTTCATTGTTATCTGAATGAGTGTATACTATAGCATTCCACCGCTATATTTGCATATGAAGGTTGTGCATAAAAACAAACCTCAATATTTTCCTTGTGTGCTATGTATATATGGAGATCTAAATGAAACACATGATGATCTTGTCAAAGTGCTTGTTTACATGTATTTTATTGATAGCGCTGCATAAAGTTGTAATGCATTTTTGCTGCCATCTGTTGCCCACAAAGGCTTGCCTCATGACAATTTGTTATCAGTTCTGTCAGATGTATATGAGAAAGAAGGTTACTCAACGTTAATGGAGTCTTTAACTCATGATGAGGTATTACTTCTTTCCCATTTTTCTCCAGTTATTTATCAGTTTTATTTCTGTTTTCGTTTTGGTCTAATATTATCCAACACCCCTGAGAACATGCGAGCATGTTTACTTTGAGTTGTATCCCAGTTATTTATCTCTCCCTTTTCATGAGAAAACTATATATTTTGCTTCCCTAGTTAGTAACACAGAACCGTGCTTGTTCTGAACTCGACTCTAAAGCTAACCAGCTTCAATATCTCATTTTTCTTTTGTGCTAGGTGACGCACAAAGTGAAAACCTTGGTCCGTGTTGTGGCAGCAAATCCTTGTCGAGCTAGTGAACTCGGTTTGCTTTTGACTGATAAGTATTGTATTCTGTTGACTCTTGAGGATCCTACAGCGAGAATTCATGCGTATGTCCATAAGGACGATTAGGTAATATGTTACTAAATAACCCTTATGCTTGATTTCCTTTCCTACAGACCAGCCCAGGTGTCCACATTCATCACTAGTGAAAAAAAAAATCAGTGTTGGTGGTAAAAAAAAGTTATGGATGCTTAAAAGTCTTGCTGAATTAGGTGATCATGTCTTCATCTAAATCCTTGGCAGGTTGAATTCTTCGGTGGTTTTATGACAGAAGAAGTGGTCATAAAAAAGATGAACAAGCTACTGGGCGTCCCAGAACCAGAGGACAGCGAGGAAGTTGCCCCTTTGACCAGGAATCCACCTTGGATATGGTGTGTCTTGATATCATACTGTCTGGAAAAAAACGATCCCTGGGGCAGCAGAAGGTACCGAATCGTTGACACAACGATCAGGAATTGAGCAGGGATGCTGCTCGAATATGCAGGAACAACCTTGCAAATGAATCGAACAAATGTGTAGTATTTTGTATGTGCTGCCAGCCTGCTTATGTAGTAGTATTTTGGAGGGGGGCATTATAGCTATACAACATCTTGCAAGGATGCAGGGCGACATGCTATAGTTGTAGCCTACTACTGCCAGAAAGCCTTACGTAATGTTGTTGCATTGCCGTCCATCTGTGGCTATGCCCCTGTTCGCTTGTCTTACGAGCCTACTGTTTCAGCGAAGGAATAGTATTTTTCTCTCACAACAAATCAGCGAACAGTCGTGCCTTTTCACCATATGCTTTTGTACAGTAACTGAATTATTCTATCCAGAACACTGGTGGCACTGTGGCATTCTGTACAAGTCTGTATGTGCCAATTGTAAACCTGCACTCTAGATTATCTTAATCTAAAGAACCCCTTATTTTATTTTTCGGCGCCTTACAGTTCTCTGGATATATTTCTTGTGAATTTTCTGCGCTTTGATATTGCTATACTGCAGTTTTCCGTTTCAGAAGGAGCTTGCGATGGATCTCTCTTCTGGTCGTAGTATCTTGATCCTCGCGATTGTCACGCGCCCTCGGCCTGTATCATTCGTTTTTAGCATATAACAGATTTGTACTCGTGGGTCTCAAGTAAAAGAGACCTGCTGTTTGGCCAGGTCGACCGTCAACCATTTGTGCTGTGGCCCGTGACCATCCAATTCTACTCCTAAAATTCTATACGAACCTTCAAGGACAGGCTCGACACAAAGTCGAATCTGTTGCACAAGAATATTTTGGAAGATGATGCCCTCTGCAGTCGCTGCGAAGAAGACAGGCAGGCATCATGTGTTGTTTGACTGCGCAGTTAGCAGCGAAGTATGGCAATGCATCGGCCTAGCGGGGCTTGACGACGTCGACTTGTGGGCTGTGGGCTGTGGGCTGTGGGCTGCACCAACAATCCATCATGCTTCTTGGCCGTCAGTACTCCTCACCCTGCTTTGCCGACTTTGGGATGCTAGCTAGGAATGGGACGATTTTCAGTCAAATTCTATATTTTCTTTCTGCCCCGTTTGGCCGGGCTCCCGCGTGCTCCGGCTCCTGCACTGTAGCGACACTGTAGCCGGAGCCGCCCGGAGCTGCACCAAAGGGGGCTGAACGAATCGGTTCGTGCTTACGGAACTCAGTAGCCGGCCGTTGTGCATTCCACATTCGCTGGTCGTTTTTCTTCAGTATGAAAACGGCAGGTGCTCTGCCTTTGCATTAAGCAGAAGGTAAAAACATACAGCAAATTAAACGGACTGGACTTTAGAGTTCCAGGAAGAAACCCAAAAAACAGAAATGAAAAAAAAAACACTGCACACCAGCTGCAGTCAACGGTGTGGTTCTACCTATACGTCACTTATTTACAAGAACATGTTCATGCGCCATACTATCATATAGCAAGATGTCTCGTTGGATTAGCCTTGCTACCTATGCTGGCGTTTGCCTTTTATCGTCGAAGACTCTTCTACAGCGCTTTTTACATAAGTTCCTGATAGCATAGATCACCAATCACTTGGGTATGCTTTCTGTCAGTCCTTATGTTGTCCGGCCCAATCATGGCAGACCACCAGTGTTTGATTCTCATGCTTGTTATATGTTTTGATTGTGCGAACACAAGGTTGACAAGTACCCTTGTGTGTTCGTTTTGTGATGAGTGATTGTCAATGTGATCCACGAAGTAGGTTGAGTGGTGACTAACCCTACCATGGCGAAAGCTATGTGTGCGACATGTCTTTTGGCTTGTGTTGTGCAGGTGTGGAGCTCGGATGCGGTGGTCGACGGCGAGGTGAAGGTCAAGGAGGACGTGCCGTGCCGACGGACCGGAGCGTGAAGGACGGACGTGAGGCTTGGACCGAGGGACCCAGAGGCGGGTGACTAGCATGCGGTGGGCGACACTTGGGACATCAACAAGTGCAAGAAGACATGGGGTGACGGTGTTGATCGGGTCAAGACGGCGGACGCGTGAGTCGAGCGAGGCTCGGGAGGACTTGGCGGGCGGCGGTCGAGGAGAGGCAGCGGTGACACGCGTCGGATGGCGGGGATGCGTATGGAGTACGCTACTCATGAACGGTTTGATGGTTTGGACCTCAAAACCATCGGATGGATTGATTTCTGGTTTGGGCCTCAAAACCCGGGCGGAGGTTCCGAGGAGGGACGGACGACACGTGGCGGCATCGGAGAGTTCGCGTCGAGGCGAAGCTACCGGTGAGAAGGCGCGGTGGCCGTCGGATCAAGATTACACCGGGTTGGACAACAACGCCCTTGGGCTTAGCGGTTCAACTCATTTGTATCCAGGGGCAAAACTGGGAATGTGTAATAGCCCTGTTATATAGGATGAGGGAGCCCCCATCTTCCTCACCTCCTCCAGTTTTCATTTTCTCCTTTAGGGTTTCTTCCTCTAGTTTGCTTCCATGTATGAGAGAGGTCCACAACTCAAATTGTGACTTGGTTTTGAAGGAATCGGTGGCCGTAACCACCGTATGTCCTCCGGGATTCATGATTTAGTTGTGTTCTTGATGTGATTTTGGTGTTCTTCACGAGCTCCTTTTGTCCCTTCTTGTTTCCCCTCTCGTTTCTTCGATTTGGGATGGTTTCGGTTCGTTCTTGTTGCCTTGGATCGATCAGTGACATGAGTAGAAGCTTTCCACCGAAGGAAATCCACTAATTCCTCACGAGATCGCAGATCCGGGCAATTTTAGTTCTTGACCTATTTTTTGGGGTTTTCTTTAATTCCTTCGATTCACGGAGTTAGAGTTTGTCTCGGGCTATGATCTTTTAGAGGTTGCCTTTCTACTCGCTTGTGAACTCTTGTGCAAAGTTTCAAGTCATTTGGAGTTGATTTGATCAAGTTATGGCTTGATTTAATTTTTCCCGAGAAACTGCTCGTTCATACCGGACGTGTCCGATATTTCTCACTTTGGAGTTTTGAGCTGAAATTTTGTGGAGATCTTCCCTTGGTGTCTAAAGAGCTATGGTTAAAATTTCATGATTTTTGGACACCGTTTGATGGGGTTTTGGATTTTTCTCTTTTGGTCAGCTTGCTGCTGAAAATCCCGGACGTGTCCGAGATCATACCGGACGTGTCCGAAAATACCGGACGTGTCCGATATATAATCCGGACGTGTCCGATATTTGTAGAAGCAGTGCTGTTTTATTTTGGGAGTTTGCTCGTTTGGGCTTCGATCTGTGGTCCGTTTGCTCTGTGGTGACCCGCTGTGTTCTGAGGGAGCATCCACCCTTCTCTAGGGTCGCGGTCATCAAGTCTTTCGTGTATGGTTTTTGGGGATTGATATTGGGACAGTGGTCGAAGATTTCGAAAGAAATTTGCGGCTCCCATTCACCCCCCCTCTGGTCGCCGTTTCCGGTCCTTCAATTGGTATCAGAGCCGGTTAAGGATCATTCCACCTTAATCGGTCCGTGATCCACGAAAGGCGACATGGAGCGTGGTTCGGCAAACCACCGCGCTTCGATGGGTCCAACTATCCTTATTGGAAGATCCGCATGTCTGCGCGTCTCCTGGGGATTGATTGGCTCGTCTGGGAAATTTGTGAGGATGCTACTTACGTTGTGCTCCCCCGTCATGCGCCCGTACCACCCAGATCACAAGGATCGGCACAACGTAAATAGCAAAGCTCGCAGCGTGCTTTTCTCGAGTCTTTAAACTTTCGAGTTCGAGCGTGTCTCCGATTGTACTACATACTCGAGAGATCAGGTGAGGCTTCAGAGCTATCACGAGGGGACCGCACAGTCAAGACCAGACTCTGAGGCGCGTACAAGCGCGAAAGTACGAGAACTTCTCTTAGCTTGATGGCGAGTCCATCGATGCCATGTTTTCCCGCTTTCGCACTATTGTTAACAAAATGAAAGCGAACAAGGCCAACCTACCTTATAGTGATCATGAGAGAGCGCTCAAGCTTCTCTATGCCCTTGATCGAAAGGTATGGGATGTGAAGGTGTCGGCGATCATCGAGTCCGCCAACTATGACACCCTCACCGTCGACGAGCTTTTCAAAGAAGCTCAAGTCCACGAGATCGACTACCAAACTCAAGCCAAGCTCAAGAATCCTTCCGCACCAACCATGGCTTTGGTCTCGGTGTAGTGGTTCAAGTTCTTTGACTAACCCTTCACAAGCTTCTTTCTCTTTGTCGTGCTTGATGTCGATCCACGAGGAGCAAATTGGAGTCTCTTGGAGATGATGAGTTGGCACTCGTCATCGATCGGTTCTCTCGGTTTCACAACAACCGCTTTGAACTGCGCCGACGCAGCAGTGGCCCGAAGGAGGGATGCTATGGATGTGGAGATCTGGACCACTTCGTCACAAGACCGCCCCCCAAGAAGACCTTCGCCAACAAGTACGACTCCGGCAAGCGCAAGGATAAACGCGACTACACCTCCGGCAAGCACAAGGCCAAGGGCGGCTTCGACAAGGAGGCGATCAAGAAGGCGTGCACTGCGCAGAAGGCCAAAGCTCAAGAACGCCTTCCTCGCCTCCCTCAAATGACCTCGACGATGACTCCGACGATGATCACTCTTCTTCTTCCTCGACCGACGATGAGTCCGAGAAGAAGCGCGAGGACAAGCTCAACGGTCTCGCTTTGTCGCCGCGGCGCAAAACCGTGGTGGGTTTTGCACTATGGCGATTGACGGTGGAGCAAAGCTCAAAAAGGACGTCGACGACGACAAAAAACGAGGTACCGCCCACACTTGACTCACTCATGCTTGAGCTTGATACTATGAATGATACATTGATGAGTCAAGATAAGTTGCTTAAGCGTCTTTGCCGCCTGTGAGAGAAAAGAGTTTAAGGACCAACTAGAGGTTGCTTTGAAGGAGTTAGAGCTTGCCAAGAGTGGTGTTGTGGTGTCGGAGGAGGAGTGCGATGAGTGCGCTATACACATGTCTAACCTCTCTGACTTGCAATCCAAGTATGCTGTTTTGCTTGATGAATGTGATGAGCTGAAGTCTCGCTCGGGGTTGCTTTCGAGTGCATGCAAGTCCCTGCCAGCTTGCAATCTGAGTTAGCGAGAGAAGGTTGCCAAACTTGCTTTGAGTTTGAGAAGGCCAACTCGAGATAGCACCACCACTACATGTGTTCGATGTGAAGCTTTGGTGTTGGAGCTTGAGTCCCAGTAGGCATGACAAGATGGGAACCGAGGAAGAAAACACACAACTTCGGTCCATCTTGAGCCGGGTGTCGTCGTCAAGAGCCCCAGTTGGGCATGATGGTGAGCCAGATTCAAAGTGAGAACCCGACTCATCGGGAGTAGGCTTTGCTATAGGTGGGAAGGGTGAGCATGTCTATGGCAAGGTTGGTGAACATAGTGGTTTGAACCCAAATGAGAAACCCACCAACACTCCCAAATTGATCAAGATCCCCTCACCAGAGCCTACCAAGCCTATGATCAAAGATGGTGTGTTTGAAGAACCACCAAAAGCTCCACCATCCAAACAAGTTTGGGTTCCCAAACCGAACCACTTTGAACTCACTCGATACTCTACCCAACATCTCTAGTGCACCCCTTCCTAAAGCCAAAAAGCCTCAGAGAGTGAGTCAACCACCACCCAAGAGAGAGGTGAGGTACCA